ATGAATAAATAAAGATCATAAAGGGAAAAGAATGGCAAAGTTCCCAGGGATCCCACCCGTGCGGCTGTGAGGTCTGGGGAAGTTGTTCTCAGGTGTTGCAGTACAGCCTGGCTAGAAGGCGTAGAGGTATACAATGCCAAGTATTCAGGGAACAGAAAGAGAAGGAAGATATAGAGAGACAAGAAACTGAGTAACGAAGAAAGACAAAAAGGAAAAAAGTGGGAAAAGAAAACAAAACAAATTTAAAATTAAAAAAAAAAAAGAGAGAACAAGAAAAGCCCCCAAAACAAGAGCGAAAAGAAAAGAAAAAAAAAAACCAACAAAAAAAGAAATGTCCTCAGGGATCCCCCTGCACATCTGTGCAAGCCAAGGAGGTAGGTTCCAAGCCACGCAGCACCGCCTGGCCAGAACGGGCTCCCAACTCAAGAAAAGGAAAATAAAACAAACAAACAATTCAAAACAAACGAACAAAAGCTCTGGGATCCCACCAGCACAGCAGCCCAGATCAGGAAGCAGCTCCACACTCGAACGGAGGTCCACAGCCTCTCAGGAAGAAGCAAAGATGGTGCATGGAGCCAGGTAGTTGAGAGAAAGGAGGGGGAGGTGGTGAGAGGTAAGGAAAAAATCAAAAGAAGCGGAAAAAAAGCAACACCAGCAGCCAACAGATGGCACTCAAAGAGCCGGCCCGTTTGGGTGGGTGGAATCCAAGCAGCTGGTGTTTCCTGGACAAGAGATTGTCACCACGGGAAGCAGAGGAGGCCGAGTGGGGGTGAAGTAGGGTGGGAGGTGGGAAAGTAAATATTGCAAATTACCGGTTGTTTTGTCTACCACTGGAAGCTCCGTGAAGCTGCTTTCTTGTACCCTCTGTTTGCTGGTCTCTGGTAAGAGTCCAAGATGGCAGATCCATGCTGTGTTAGCTGATAGGGGACCTCTGCATGAATCTCTCCTCTCTCTCCGTTCTCTGTCAGTTTTCTCACTCCATTTGGTGCTTGGCTGAGTTCTTTATCTCTTTATTTGATGTTTTAGGGTTTCAGGATTGTTGTTTTCTCTGTTCAGCTTAGTTTTTCGGATCTTTGCTGTGGAGGGACGGCGTGGTGCTTCTGCCTAGAGCGCCATTTTGCTGTTTACTCCCTTCAGAACAGTCTTGATTGTCATTTTCTTGTGCACTTGCTGGCCTTAGCCTCAAGCTGTAATTACATTATCTTCAAACAGCAACTAAGAGATATTTCTCATTAAACGTGAACAGAGGAAAGTTTAATTTGTTAGAATTAAGGTGTCCAGAAATCAAATCATTTGTGTGCCAGGGCACTGAAATAAGCATTGCCATTGGAGTTGTCTGTGGTAAGCACCACATGGCCAGGCTTCCATATGGCACAAGTTCACTGCAGATGAGAGGCTGACTCAGGTACTGGAACCCTACATAAAGTCTATGGGGCTGAACTTAGGGCTTTCTTTAGCTTTATGAAGATGGACCAACTCACTTTCTCTCTGTGTTCCCTTAAAGTGGGAGAAACAATCCTGTCATTTCAAAATTATAGAGTCAAGGGATTACACATTGCCTGTCATTTCCCAGTGATTCTGAGACGATGTGTATTTAGTGTCATGGATTGAATGATGTCCCCCCGAAAATGTATCAGTTTGGCTGGGCCATGATTCCCAGTATTGTGTGGTTTTCCTCTATTTCGTGATTGTAATTTTATGTTGAAGAGGATTAGGGTGGGATTGTAACACCCTTAATAAGGTCACATCCCTGATCCAATGTGAAGGGAATTTCCCTGGGGTGTAGCCTACACCACCTTTTATCTTACAAGAGATAAAAGGAAAAGGAAGCAAGCAGAGAGTGGGGGACCTCATCCCACCAAGAAAGCAACACCAGGAGCAGAGTGTCCTTTGGACCCGAGGTTCCTGCACCTGAGAAGCTCCTCGACCAGGGGAAGACTGATGAGAAGGAGCTTCCTCCAGAGCCGGCAGAGAGTGAAAGCCTTCCCCTAGAGCTGATGCCCTGAATTTGGACTTTTACCCTACTTTACTATGAGGAAATAAATTTCTCTTTGTTAAAGCCATCCACTTGTATTTCTGTTACAGTGGCACTAGATGACTAAGACATTTAGGATAAACATATGTGTACAACATCCGAGAATAATGATGAATGCTTAACTCTCAATAAGGTGAATTAAGAGCATCAAAACTAGTAACTAGGCTTTTCTTTGACTTGTGGGGTGGCGGCGGGGGGGCAACTTTGGATTCAGAAAGACTTGGGTTTGAAAACATGACTTTATTATTAGTTAGTTATATATACTTGGGAAATTTGTTAACATCTCTAAGCTTGAATATCCTCATCTGTTAAATGGTGAGAATAGCAACTTTGCTGGGTTGACACGATGATTCGGTGACATAGTATAAGTTCCTAGTCCAATGTTTGACAGGCCAATGCTAGCTCTTTCTATTCCAACTTTCCCTGTCACCAATTTGGAATAGAATATAAGGATCTATGAAGCAGTAGCAAAAGGGATATACTCTGAGGAAGAAGGGATGGGCACCCTTCTCCTGAGGCAGAGAAGTAGCCTGCAGGTGCCAAGTGAGGTTAATCCCTTTGCCCCTGACACTGTCCTCCTCCCCTTGCCTTCCAGCCCCTGAAAATGCACTGCAGGGATTGTGCCCTGGTGACAAGCTCAGGACATCTGCTGCGCAGCCGGCAAGGCACCCAGATTGACCAGACAGAGTGTGTCATCCGCATGAATGACGCCCCCACGCGCGGCTACGGGTGCGATGTTGGCAATCGCACCAGCCTGAGGGTCATCGCGCATTCCAGCATCCAGAGGATCCTGCGCAACCGCCATGACTTGCTCAACGTGAACCAGGGCACCGTGTTCATCTTCTGGGGCCCCAGCAGCTACATGCGGCGGGACGGCAAGGGCCAGGTCTACAACAACCTGCAGCTCCTGAGCCAGGTGCTGCCGCGGCTGAAAGCCTTCATGATCACGCGCCACAAGATGCTGCAGTTTGATGAGCTCTTCAAGCAGGAGACTGGCAAAGACAGGTACAGAAACATGGAGCGTATCTTTTGCTAAGGGTCTTTGTTGCAGACCCCACTGCTCATATCCTTGATAGAGGTCACCTGTAGGGTACCCCTGGCGACTCGGGTGCTCAAACTGAATGCATAAGACAAAAGGAAATGAAGCAGTGAGACAACTGTATGGATAATTCAGGCCCAGAGTTTTATTTCTGAGGAAGAGGCTACAGCTGCTGGCCTACGCTGGTAGTGAGTGTGAGATAACAGCTTTGTTGAGTTTCATTTCATTCAGGTGAACACAAAGCAAAAAGAAGTGTGTGGGTGTAATTTTGCCTTTCAAAGGCAAAAATTTATTTATCCAACAAATATTTATTGAGTACTTACTACCTGCTCAGCACTGTGCCTTGCACTGGGAACCTGTCAAACAACGAGACAGATCTGGACCCTGCCTTCACAAACATGAAGTTTATAAGGAGGACAGACATCCACTGTGTAATGACCAGTGTGCTGAGGGTCATGTGAGGGGAAGAAGATGGTGCTGTGATACCTGAGGCAGGGAGCTCTGACATGGTCTAGGACAGTGTTTTCCAGACTGTTGGTTACAATTCAATAATGGGATATGCGATCAATAGAAAGTCACTGTAAGATTTTTTTTAATGTAATGGGAAAAAATGGGGTGGAATGGAATAAAAAAGACAATATCAGCATGCATCCCACATAGTAAGACAAAGTATTGTTTCATGAAAACTTTATTTTGGTTTTATACATATAAATACACATATACGAAGAAAATGTATACATATATGGGAGTTTCTTTCGGGGGTGATGAAAATGTTCTGGAATTAGGTAATGGTGATGGTTGCACAACTCTAAATATATTTTAAACCACTGAATTATATACTTTAAAAAATAAAATGAGGAAAAAAAGAAAAACATCTAATAAAAACCTAATGTGTGTGTGTGTATACACATATACAGTACACACACACACACACACACACACACACATAAAACCCTTGCCATTAAGTTGATTCTGACTCTTGGTGATCTACCCCATGTGATGGAGTAGAACTGCTCGATAGGATTTTCTGGGCTTCAATCTTTATCGAAGCAGATTACCAGGCCTTTCTTCTGTGGCATCGCTGGGGAGTTCTAACTGCCAACCTTTACATTAGCAGCCTAGCACAAACCCTTTGTGCCACCCAGGGACCTATATATAATATATGTATATGTATATACACCCAATCATGATGTAGAATATATTTCTGTCTGTAGGTCGAAATATTTTGAAAATCCCTAGTCTAAGAGATGAGGGAAAGGCTTTCTCAAAAAGGCATATTTAAGCTGAGACTTTAGCTGAGAATATTTCACCAAGTGAAGAAAGACCTTGGGCCTTCCTGATGGATACAAGTGATCAGAGGTGAGAGAATGGGCAGTGGGTGGAGGAAGGTCCTCTATGGCTGCATTGAGAGGGGCTGGGGAAGAAGGGGAGAGTGACCCGTGATAAAACAGGGAGATGAAGGGTCATGAACAGTGTAGTCTAAAACACAGTATAGTCCAAATACAGAGCTTTGAGATGAAATTCTGGCTCAATCACTTACTGGCCGTGTGTTTTGGAGACTCGGTGACCTTTTATTTGAAAAGAGGATAGTGACTACCTCATGGGATTGGTCTAATGATTAGATTACCTTGTTTCCTTAATTCTAAAACACCTACTTTTATAACTAATGTAACTTTAATGATGTAATTTATCCCCCCAACACACACACACACTTTGAGATGGAAAAACTGTTGTTGAGAAAATTTTTTATCTTAAAACTAAATGAATATGATTAATGAAATAAAGAATTTTAAGCACTGATTCCATGCCACAAGAAGCAGCAAGTTGTTGGAGAGCAGAATTTAAAGAAAGACCAAACTCCAGTGTCTCCAAATTCTTGGCGTGGAAGTTTTCCTTATAAAGCCTGGAAACCCTGTGACCATTTGAGGGTCTGTCCAGGCAGGAGTGGGCATTGAGTCTGGGACAGGGAGGACAGAGAGTGCCCGCCACTGCCCACTATACCCTCCTTTCTTGAAGCTCCAGCAGGCAAGATGTCTAGCCCAGCCAGTAAATCACGTAAGGATCCTGATCGTCATCCCAGGCTGCCTCCTAAAAGCCACAAATAAAAAAGACTATCACTCATATTCCCCACGTGTCTGTCAGTTTGTCATACTGTGGGGCTTGCATGTTGCTGTGATGCTGGAAGCTATGCCACCAGTATTCAGATACCAGCAGGGTCACCCATGGTGGACAGGTTTCAGCTGAGTTTTCAGACTAAGACAAACTAGGAAGAAGGACCTGGCAGTCTACTTCTGAAAAGAATTAGCCAGTGAAAACCTATGAATAGCAGCAGAATATTGTCTGATATTGTCTGAAGATGAGCCCCCAGGTTGGAAGGCACTCAAAATGCGACTGGGGAAGAGCTGCCTCCTCAAAGTAGAGTCGACCTTAATGACATGGATGGAGTCAAGCTTTCGGGACCTTCATTTGCTGATGTGGCACAACTCAAAATGAGAAGAAACAGCTGCAAACATCCATTAATAATATGAACATGGAATGTATGAAGTATGAATCTAGGAAAATTGGAAATCATCAGATATGAAATGGGATGCATAAACATCAATATCCTAGGCATTAGTGAGCTGAAACGGACTGGTATTGGCCATTTTGAATTGGACGATCATATGGTCTACTATGCCGGGAATGACAGCTTGAAGAGGAAAGGCACTGCATTCATAGTCAAAAAGAACATTTCAAGATCTATCCTAAAGTGCAACACTATCAGTGATAGAATAATATCCATATGCCTACAAGGGAGGCCAGTTAATATGACTGTTGTTCAAATTTACACACCAACCACTAAGGCCAAAGATGAAGAAATTGAAGATTGTTAACAGCTTCTGCAGTCTGAAATTGATCGAACATGCAATCAGGATGCATAGATAATTATGGTGATTGGAATGCCAAAGTTGGAAACAAAGAAGAAGAATCGGTAGTTGGAAAATATGGCTTTGGTGATAGAAACGATGCTGGAGATTGCATGACAGAATTTTGCAAGACCAACGACTTCTTCATTGCAAATACCTTTTTTCACCAACATAAATGGTGACTATACACATGGACCTCACCAGATGGAATACACAGGAATCAAATCGACTGCATCTATGGAAAGAGATGATGGAAAAGCTCAATATCATCAGTCAGAACAAGGCCAGGGGCCAACTGCAGGACAGACCGTCGATTGCTCATATGCAAGTTCAAGTTGAAACTGAAGAAAAGTAAAGCAAGTCCACAAGAGCCAAAGTACGACCTTGAGTATATCCCATTTGAATTTAGAGACCATCTCAAGAATAAATTTGACACGTTGAACACTAATGAATGACTGAAGACCAGACGAGTTGTGGAATGACATCAAGGACATCATACATGAAGAAAGCAAGAGGTCATTAAAAAGACAGGAAAGAAATAAAAGACCAAAATGGGTGTCAACAGAGACTCTGAAACTTGCTCTTAAACGTCAAGTAGCTACAGCAAAAGGAGGAAATGATGAAGTAAAAGAACTGAAGAGAAGATTTCAAAGGACAGTTTGAGAAGGCAAAGTAAAGTATTATAATGACATGTGCGAAGACCTGGAGATAGAAAACCAAAAGGGAAGAACACGCCCAGCATTACTCAAGCTGGAAGAACTGAAGAAAAAATTCAAGCCTCGAGTTGCAATAGTGACGGATTCTATGGGGAAAATATTAAACAACACAGGAATCATCAAAAAAAGATGGAAGAAGTACACAGAGTCATTATACCAAAAAGAATTGGTCGACATTCAGCTATTTCAACAGGTAGCATATGATCAGGAACCGATGGTACTGAAGGAAGAAGTCCAACTTGCGCTAAAGACATTGGCGAAAAACAAGGCTCCAGGAATTGACAGAACTTCAATTGAGATGTTTCGGCAAATGGATGCAGCACTGGAAGTGGTCACTCATCTATGCCGAGAAATTTGGAAAACAGCTACCTGGCCAACTGACTGGAAGAGATCCATATGTATGCCTATTCCCAAGAAAGGTGATGCAACCAAATGTGGAAATTATCAAAGGATATCATACGCAAGTAAAATTTTGCTGAAGATCATTCAAAAGCGGCTGCAGAAGTATATCCACAGGGTACTGCCAGAAATTCAAGCCGGATTCAGAAGAGGACATGGAACAAGGGATGTCATTGCTGATGTCAGGTGGATCCTGGCTGAAAGCAGAGAATACCAGAAAGATGTTTACCTGTGTTTTATTGACTATGCTAAGGCATTCGACTGTGTGAATCATAACAAATTAAGGATATTTCGAAAAAAGGGAATTCCAGAACACTTAACTGTGCTGATGAGGAATCTGTACATAGATCAAGAGGCAGTTGTTCGAACAGAGCAAGGGGATACTGCATGGTTTAAAGTCAGGAAAGGTGTGCGTTAGGGTTCACCATACCTATTCAATCTATATGCTGAGCAAATAATCCGAGAAGCTGGACTATATGAAGAACAGGGCATCAGGATTAGAGAAAGACTCATTAACAAACTGCATTATGCAGATGACACAAGCTTGCTTGCTGAAAGTGAAGAAGACTTGAAACACTTACTGATGAAGATCAAAGACTACAGCTGTCAGTATGGTTTACACCTCAGCATGAAGAAAACAAAAATCCTCACAGCTGGACCAATAAGCAACATAATGATAAATGGAGAAAAGATTGAAGTTGTCAAAGTTTTCATTTTACTTGGATCCACAATCAACACCCATGGAAGCAGCAGTCAAGAAATCAAAAGACACATTGCATTAGGCAAATCTGTTGCAAAAGACCTCTTTAAAGTGTTGAAAAGCAAAGATGTCATTTTAAGGACTAAGGTGCGCCTGACCCAAGCCATGGCGTTTTCAGTTGCCTCATATGCATGCAAAAGCTGGACAATTAATAAGGAAGACCAAAGAATTGATGCCTTTGAATT